AGTGTTGTGATTGGTGGAGAGAGGACAGTGACAGACACTTTCTTTGGTAAATCCCATGTGACTGAGATGTCGACCACAACCGGCTGCAGAGCAAATCGCAGCGACTGCATCACCTGAAAAATAATGAAAAACTCTCCAAATATACTCCAAATATGCTGTAATGTTTAACTTGAAAAGTTATTACTATTATTATTATTATAAATGTATAGAACTTCATGGTTTGAACAAGAACCAAATATTAAAGATAAGCATACATGTTTAAACATACGTGCACATAATCATAGGGTATTAAAAGAAATGGTCTGCTTGTAACTGCATACAGTAAAGTTAGAACAGGATGTGCTTTACACGATCATGGGCCTCACAATGAGAAACAGGAAACAGTTGGGGGTGAAAGACCGTTGAAACCTTTAGTGAGGTATAAACACCAATACTATAAAAGGCGATGCAGCTAAATATCACTGATGCATGATAATATACTCTGCTTATGCATACAGGGCGTTTAAATAGTGAAGCTTGTGTATTTCTTTTTTGAGATCTGCCAGACTGCGCTCTGGGTGGTAGCGCATATATTTCCCATATATGTGCATAATAAAAGACTGTTATTGTTTGAACGTGATCAGCTCTTGATTGTTTGTTCTCAGTCCAACATCAAATAATTCAGGACAACAGACACATAAGGTCAGACATTTATTCCAACATGCAAACTGCAGTCTAATATCCAGGGGAAAATTTTAAGGGAAAGCTAACCAACAAAAATGTGTTTAAGGTCTCATTTAAAATAAATACAAGAATCGCCTCACCTGATACGATGAGAAGGCTATTCTAGAGTTTGGGCACCACAATCTCAAAAGCATGATCGCCTCTGATTTTAAAAGTAGAGCAAGGGACATTTAGGAGACCCTGGGGGCCAAAAAAACCTAACCGACATGGCCCTGTGGGAAAAAGTGGTTTCCCCCCTCATAACAGAAATTAACTGCGGTGTATTACATGTAGGGATGGGTATCGAAAACCGGTTCTTGTTGAGAACCGGTTCCCACTGTTTCAATTCCTTGGAATTGTTTGCCATTTTTGCAAACGATTCCCTTATCGATTCCAGTCGCCCCGAATGACGTCACCACGTTGCGGAGCGTCATTTACCT